GAATGGTACTCATGGCCATTGATCAGTGGTCTTTGATCAGTGGGTTTTGGTCAGTGGTTGTTGATCAATGGTCATGAGAATTTGCATAATTATGATTAAGGAACTGACCTCACAGCCCATTGTTACTTCAGTGGGCTGGTTTCAGTCATTATGCAAATGTACTGTTTATAAGATTGGGGAAACCTGCAGTCAGCTGAGACTGAAGAAGTCACTTGGATGAGTGACAAAACGTTTCTCCCAGAAAACGCTACGTCCAGGTGAACAGAATCAACTTTTGGAGATCTATTGCTTTATTACCTATTCAGGTTGTAAATCATGTTTTTAAAAAGTAACTAAGTAACTAATTACTTTTGGAAAAAAGTAATCAGTAAAGTAATGGAATTACTTTTGGGGTAAAGTAATCAGCAATTAGTTACTGATTACTTTTTTCAAGTAACTTGACCAACACTGCTTATCACTGACACTACTTTTGGAAAGAACGGTTTTCAGTGGAGTTCTAAAATCTTAATTTAACCTTTCTCTGCCCACCTCTCAAAACTCCGATCTGACAATGATGGAAGGAACTCAACATTTCCATTTACGGGAACAGCTTGAGACATGATTGAGTCTGACCCTTGGTTGTTTATTCTGCCAGATAAATTTAGATGTAATGCTTTCTAATAATTTGAATGCAGACTGTGGGATCAAAATGGGTAGGTTCTAAAATAGGAATAATAGGCGTGGAAGAATATTCATCCTTATACATTCAATCCTCCCCATAAGAGTGAGTGGGAGTAGGTTCCATCTGTCCAAGTCCCTCCTTGAATAATCGATCATAATTGAGAGCAAGTAACTGATTGGTTTTAGGAGTAATAATTATCCCCAAGTATCTAAAACCCTGTTTAGAGTGTCTAAAAAGATACAAGATGATGATCTAGCTGTGTGGGCCAGTTCCCAACAATCATTAATGTTGGGTCTGTGTTTCCACATGCCCCGCTAGTTTAGAAACTTATTCCTCATAAAGAACACAAGACATAACAGAACATCTTCAACCGGTCTTTAACTCGCTAAAGAGGGAAGCCTTGGTCAGAACCAGGCGGTGGAGCAATGCTCCTCACCTTTCTCTAGCCCAAATCCTCTGTGAGTAACACAAGGTGGTGAATAACACACCCTTGGTAAATTCAAAAACCCAGAAAAATTACAACTAAAAAGGTTAAATTTGCAGAGTTCACATAGTCATGTGACCCAAGTTTCCTCCTGTGGTCTTCTCCTGCTCCTGCAACAAGAGGCGCCACCGGGCCCTCTGACCACCACCAGTAGGCGACCGGTGAAGTGTCTTGCCCAAGGACACAACCCTGTTGTCTCATCACATAATAAGTTTCTTCTCATGTTACCAAATGTGTGCCATGTTAAAACTTCTTCACACACCAGAAACTCAACAATCAGCTCACTCATTCAAGACCCCTCATCAGCATTCTGTTTTCTGGCTGTAGCTCAGGAGGTAGAGCAGGTCACCTACTGATCGGAAGGTTGGAGGTTCGATCCCAGGCTCCTCCAGTCTGCATGCCAAGTATCCTTGGGCAAGATACTAACCCCAAGTTGCTCTCCGATGCGTCCATCGGAGTATGAATGTGTGTGAATGTAGTTAGATAGCACTAAGTATAGATAAAGTGCTCGTGAGAATGGGTGTGACTGGGTGAATGTGGCATGTTGTATAGAGCGCTTTGAGTACTCCGGGAGAGTAGAAAAGCGCTATATAAGAATCAGTCCATCAGTCCATTTACCATTCTCCCTATGATGCAACCATCTGTCCTCCTATAATATTCAGGCCACTAGTCTTCTAGTTCTTCTAGCTATTTCTCTGTATCTATGAAGCGCCTTGAGGCGACTTTTGTTGTGATTTGGCGCTATATAAATAAAATTGAATTGAATTGAAATTGAATTGAATAGTCTATGTATCACTTTCATCTTACTAGTGACTTGGACAAGATGACAACAGAATCTCATGCTTAGACTCTGTCTGGTTTCATTGTATGTGTATATGCATGTAGGGTTAGTATGGTTAATGCACTTTATGTTTGTGTGTGTTTTATGTACCTTTCTCATTTTGTAGTCCAGACTCCTTCTCAATTTTCCCACTTAAAGCAGTTTCCTTTTTTCCCAGAATTGCTAACCCAAAATTTGATTTCCCACACTAAACAACAACCTTCCTCTGTGTTCTCACCTGCTTCTCTCACTCCGTTCTCCTCTCCCACTTTGCAGTCCAATGGCAAACAGTTTTCTTCAGCTTTGTCCTGTGTTTTCCACTGTCTCATCTTGCCATTCCACTCCAAAAGTGGCAAATGTCACTCAGACAGTCTCCTCAAAAGTCATCTTCACACACAGTGAAGTTGCAGCTTGCTGGAAACACATCTCCATCCATCCAGGTGATGGGTTTTCTTTCTCTCTGATGCCGTTTGCACACACTGCTGCTGGATCTCTCTCAGGACTCTGCTGTTGTCTGTTGGGCTGCTGTGAACTGTAGATGTGCTGTGCTTCTGGGATTGCACTCCTTATCTTGTCTTCAGGCAGAGGTTAGCTTCCATGGAGCTTGTTTTCTCAGGGTGAGGAGCACATGGGAGTTAAGCTCGGCCTGAGTGTTTCCTAATGATGTTAATCCTATAATTTTCTTCCAACTGCTGCACATGGAAAATTGATCCAGGTCTGCTTTTCACCTGAAAGTGACAAACTAAGACATTTTCATTATTCTCATCACTGCTTAAACAACTCACATCTCTCTCTGTGTTTTTTTTTTAAACTGTCCTTTCTCAAAAACAGAAAGTAGCATTACAGTTGTTTCAGGCTAGGACACACCAAACACTCTTCATCATTCATATTTCATCCACACAACTATTTTATTTCTTTTGTCCACTGGGCAGGTGACCTGCAGAATCATGTCTGCCCCAGCTGGATACCGCTTAACTCACACACTTTCACACCTCTCTGTAACTCACACACACCATGACGTCAGACACA